CCCCGCCCCCGGAATCCACAGGGTCCCAGCCCCGTCCCAGGTGGCTCCCCCTGAGCGGGCCCACTCACCCCGAGACGCAAGCCCTGGAAGAAGTGCACGTCCGGCTGCGTGCGCTCGGGCTCCTGGCACACGAGCAGCAGCAGCGAGCGGCTCCGGCCTGGGAGCAGCACCACGTCGCAGCGCACGATGGCGCCCAGCGGGTACGACTCCAGGTCCTCCTGCGGGGCGGGGCGGGACGGCGGGTAGACTGAGGCCCGAGCCGAGGGGACTGAATGGCGACAGCCGTGCCGGGGGGCACACCGACACTGCACAGGCAGCCCTGCGAGGCTAGGGGATTACGGGGTCGGCGCCGGCAGCCCTGCGAGCCCGGGGGGTCGGGGATGGCAGCCCCGTGTAATGGAGGAGACTACGGACGCCCACAAGAGGAGTGGAGATCTCTTGCGAAAGTTCCCAAAGGAAGGACATGCAGGGGCCAAGATTCACACTCAGACGTCCCTAGGGTCAAGCTCTCTCTGCCTTCCCCCACTCAGGCCAGCCGCTCCTGCCCCCCACGTGTCCCCTGGCACCTTGGAGATGGGGTCAAGCAGCGTGACATGGTCCGGAGACACACGCAGCAGCATCTCTTGGGCCCAGATGCGGCCCTGGCTGTCCATGACGGCCAGCTTCCGCGAGGCGTCCTCCACGGTGTGCACGCCATCCTCTTCACCCAGGCAGAACGTCACCAGGTGCTGGCACGGGGCGTGGAGAAAGCAGGGAGTCCCAAGATGATGCCGGCTGGGCTCGCACCAGCCTTCCAGCCGGAGACTAAACACGCCTCCTCCAGAAAGCCTGCCCTATCAGGGGCTCCACCTATGGGGCGCCTCCTGCTTTCATCGGAGTGACTAGCCTCCCAACACCACTGGAAGCTCCTTGGAGGCACTGGTTCTGTCTAGTCCCTTCTAAGCACCTCTGCTTCTGTTAGAGCACCAGGCACACTTGGACCCGTCCTCACACAGGTTTACCTAACGTTTGTCCCTGTGGCCTGACCGTCCAGCACAAGGGCCGCTCTAAAACATGGCAGATTCAAGTGCAACTGACTTCCTGTGCCGAATACCCACTTCCAAGGGGAGGCAGAAACAGCCCATCTTGCATATGAGCAAACTCAGTTTCCCAGTTTCTTTCTGCTTTCAGCATCTCCATCTTTCCAGGCCTGCCTTTCCTCCCAGCAAGCCTCCCTGGGACAATGCAGACCCCAGACTCACATTGACTGGATACTGGGAAACATCTGCCATAACCACAGTGGAGTAACGCTTCCTCTGCTCTGTGGGGGAGAAGGAGAATAAACCCAGAAGACTCAGCCCTTCCTGCCTCAGACCCAGGAGTGCCCCCAGCCCCTCCTCCTCCTCCTCCCTCAGACCCAGGCGTCCAGGGCCCCAGCCCCTCCTTCCTCAGACCCAGGAGTCCAG